GGGTGAGTAAAGGGGATTAAATTTGGAGAAGAAACCCTCTTCTGGGGCATTGTTGATGGGAACTTTATCGTCCTCAAAGAATATAGGGAGGAGATGGTCGTAAGTCATCGAGTGATAGGTAAAGATAGAGAGCGCAATGACTAGAGCCATGATGCGCTTGGTGAAGATGGTGAAGTCGCCCTTCTTTCCTGGCACTTTCGAGGAAATCGCATCGCGGTTGAATTCGCCGCTTTCCCTGCCCCGGAAAGTTCCGTACGTTTCAGAACGTAGATCAACAGCTGGTTGTTTAATCGCATCTGAAGTTTCTATGAGGGGAGTCTCGTCGGAAACATAGGTGTCATCGGGTAGCATAACCCGTGGAGCCATATCAGGGTGCGTTTCCTCGAGCAAGAAATACCCCAAGCAAATGCTAATCATTAGAAGAGCAGCACAACAGAGATTGGGAAGGAGATAAGGGAAGTTTGCGAATAGGGTGCCTTTCGGGAACGTATCGGGCCAAGACTCATGGGGGTCTGCTAGTAGTCCTCCGATTGCTGGTCCAATGATTGTTCCAATAGACCAGACAAATGGCATCACGGAATAAGCGCGAGCTACGACATTAGCATGAATTTTTTGTTGGTTGAAGTGAATTTAGTAGTTAAACTTACGCTCGTGTTCGGGTTTAGTGACCAGCTCGCCAACCATGGTCTGGATAACTGCGATGTTTCCATTCAGGAGTCCGCCGAGTGCTCGACCGATCAAGGCAATCCAGAGGTTGGTAGCAAATCCTACCATAACCATGCTAAACATAGTTCCAATGCATCCTACAAGGAGGACAGGCTTTCGACCGATTCTATCAGACAACCCGCCCCAATACATCCCCATCAGCGCCTCGGCAAGGGCGAATGAGGATATCTAAAGGAGTCAGTAACGGCTATCTATATATTTTGGAAATAAGAAATTCACATACAAGGAGGCCGGCATAAAACGAGGCATCTTGCTCGTTGCCAAATTTAAACCGCTTGACTAAGGCCCAGGCATACGGAAAGATGGAGGTGAGGGCGATAGGTTCAGCTAGACGGACAATAGCTAATAGAAACAGCTGAATAGTCGGGAAGTCATCGGGATTTCGAGGTGATCTCTGCTTTGTTAGGACCATTGCTTCGCGACTTGGTATCGATCTTACGACTAGCTGACACAACACTTGGCGCTTAATCTTGAGCTGGTAAATGCTAGAGTAAGAGGACAAGCGTCAAGTGATGTGGCGGCAGGTAATGCCTTCTATTTCCACCAGAAATGCTACTTTCGCGAGAAGCTTTCTTCACGATCTCTTTTTATATATATATTTTTATCCACGCCACTAGACGTTGTAAACCCGATAGAGGAGGGTAGCAATGGCGTAAAGAACGGGTGCGTGGATAAGTATAAGACCCTGAATTCTCGTCGGCACACACACGTCTAGAAATAATGTAACAATATGAGGAGATGATAAGTGAAAGGAGCTCGCATGTGCAGTTTTCTGCATGAAAAGAAGGAGGTAGTAGGGTAGGGTGGGCAGAGAAGAACAAGGAGGACCGCATCAGAGAAATATACTATGAATCGGAGGTTGCTACACTACTATGTAGAGGAAAATGTGGAGATGCACTAATAATATTTTAAAGGTTCCTCAACTATGTACTGTATGGTGGAACCTACCGTGGGTTCCTAAGCTAGTGTTACTAGAGTACCTGTCTAGGTAACCTTATTAATGACCAAATCATACCTGAGTTTGAGGAAACTCCGTGCGCTAAGTGTAGGTACATAGACAACCAAGATATATCATCGTCAGTTCCACCGGCTTCATCCACAACTTACGGTAAACTGGTTCAACCAAAATCAACTCACTGTCAGTATTCGTCTATATTGTTGAAACATGTACCTATGTTAGGTAACTAGTGTAATACGGGAACTGCCTACATTCCAATCCTTCTCCTTACTTTGCACAGCTCCTATCCACATGTTTAACAAAGTCGGCGCCTCTACATGCGTCGGCAGGATGTCGATCTCACAGTCGGTACGAAGTATACGGTAAAAACCAGATGGGCCGTCCGAGCAATGGCCGAAATGATCAACAAGGCACCAGCCGGGTAATAACTGCAACAAAGTCGGTTTTGGCGGTCTGAGATGTGACAAGCCATCCAGTCTGTCTACACTAGTTTTTCATATCATCCAAGATCATAACATCTATGTAGTGCAAGTTATCGCATTCATAGATCATCCCCTACTGTGTTGCTGTGTAAAAGCTGCTGATGCACGTTTGTCACCTTGTTGGTCCCCGCTGCAAAATATGCAATGCAGAAGGCAAAAACGTTGCATCGAAAATGGAATAACATCTCGATGCTAGGGCCAGGTTTATAGATGGAACCTAGAACCTTGCGATCTACGGTCAACAAAGCCGGCCAATCATTTAATACGGATTCTGAAAGACATGTGGGGTTTATGAACTGTTCCCTGTCGTACTTGCGGCATCGCTTCAACTCTAGTTACGCACAGACGTATCAATCCGCTCAAATTTTTCAGCCACTCCCTAATTGAGTTGTCTCTTATACGCTAATGGCGGGGCAGAAAACGCTAGCAGCTTTTGAAGGCCTAGTCTCTTAGATCCACTCCGTTTCTTTTATACGTACAACCGTACAACAATTCTTCTAGATTCCTCTCGAAAGAGTCAAACGTCCTTTTCTACATATTCACCTCCAAACAATGCAGCGGCTACAAAATGCATGACACATATAATCCATCTCTACGGATCCCTACAACTCACATACTAAGCATTATCGAAATACGCACGTTAACTAGCGCAAGCCGATATCGTGTTCTAATCCCGGCTTAAATACGCTACGCCCGACACCGGAAATTCCTAGCGGCTAACTTAGAGCTAGGACTGCTCACTTCTGTCACTTGATCAACTAAATCTACTTCTCCAGTTTTCGCTTAACTTACCTAAAGTCTTCCTCAAGAGCAACGCCCATTCGATCTAGACCGAGGACGATGTTTAATATCGTACAGTTAGATCTCTAGAGTCTATGAATTCGTACGAGCATCGTCTTTTAACTGGCCATAGAACAGCAGAGGCGGTTGGATAATGAACTAATGAACTATCCAGGACTTGACCCCAGGACTCGACCCCAAGACTCGACCCCAAGTCCCGCATTACCAGTCGTATCCTTATCCACACATCACAAACTGCCTGTTATATTTACATAGTACGGATTACGCTTCCTTATCATACGGTATCCATACCGGCATACACAAGGTTTCTCGCAAAATATGCATCCTTGTTACCATGCAATGCAGCGCCCCCTTCCTGCGAGACCCATAACACTATTGCAGGAGTTTCTTGCATGCGGCTAGCCCTCCTGCGAACGTCAATGGCCGTTCCGGGCCGCTACTCCCAACCTACTCTTTGCATTGGTGCAATATCGCACTCTGTGACTCGTCGGATGTTGATGATCAGAGTGACGAAAATGACGAGAACCCTTATTGTGTCACTACAACCCTACAGCCCTGTCGTGGACCCCCAAGTCCCTGAAGGTAGTGGGTGTTACAACTTAGGGACGCTGTTGTGGTACTAGAGTAACCTTTTCTATGAATTCGTCAACACATCAAGATTCAAAGGGTCCTCCTATAGAGTTTCTTTTGGGCTACCCCTACCCCCCTCTCTTTTCCGAGATTTGTGCGATGCGAGATTATTGTCAAGCAAGCAGCTGCGAGCCGTTACCGCGGCAAGCTATCTATATACTTGATCTTCGGGATAGTATGCTTGCATACTTAGAATACCTTGGGAAGCATATACGACACACTCTGGCGTCATCCTAACTGGTCACATCGGATTTGGCAACCGTATCTCGATGACCTTTCTTGCTGCAGGTTTGAGGTGTTATTTCTATATGTAAGTACGTAACCGCGGGACTCATCCGCGGACAGATTGTGACTCGCCCAACTTCACGCATCAAACAAGGAGTGTCTACGGTGCCCAATGAATACAGGATAGCGATCGATATATTCTCTCATTACCGGGAAGGTCATCCTCTACGGCGATACATAGGTAGACGCATCTCGATGACATTGTCCGAGACTGGTAGTATATTAAGCCCGCAACGGCACCATTAGGTAACTTTTTCTACCCTTCGCTAAATCGGCATACCAGGCGCCCTTCTGTATACTCCAAATTCTTTGTGGATTCGTAGACGAAGCCCGATTAATTACGGCACCAACTCAGCCGCATGTATGTTACCCATACCTCATGTATGCTACCTACATGTAGGCGAGCCAGTGGGAAGTCTGGGGTACAAGACTATGCTGGGTCTACGCATGATGCTATATTGAGGCCCTCTCCAAGCGCGAGGATCCAACGAGACATGAATTACATTTACTAGGTACCTAGGCATGTAATAGACAGTAGGATCAAAACAGACTCATAGTTAGGTATGTTGGTATGATACGTATTCTGAGAATATAATTGCTTCTATACCAAGTGCCTGCCATACATTTTGTTACTTTGAGTATCTAATGCAAGCTTAACAGTTCTTGGCTATCAATTTTATTAGCTCGTCTCCTGGGATCTTATGAGACGTTGTAGAAACTATACCCGTATACTGTACATATCGAAGTCTACTGTTAATATGCGTACCACATCTATATACGCAGCCGATGAGAACATTATTCTATATAGAACCAGCCTTGTCATTTAAGCTTAGGAGCTAGAAGGCACCTACATTTGCCCGTAAGTCTTTGCTGTTGATTCTATTCCACAAGGCCCCTACTGTATGATTCTACTTTCAATTTGGTCTAGATGTGTAGCATTTTAAGCTAATAACCGTCATATCTAGCGGTTCCTCTAATGCCATGTAAACAATAAGAGGCATTTCCCTCCATATTACTTGTTACAAGCCCTCTCCTAGGTATTAACATTATCCACAACCCCAATCTATTCCTATCCCCTCTCTCCATCATAACCACCAGCACAACTCTCATACATACCACTAACCCTCAAAGAACCCCTCAAGCTTGTCGAACGAGACCCCTAGGAACTGCGATAGTCGGTTCCGCAGGTCATCTAGCGAGATCTCAGACATATCCGGGTTCGACAGGTGCTGCTCCTCCTTAGCAAGTCCTACGGGTCCAGGTGCTGGCTTCTTCATCTGCCTATCGCTACATTCGCGCACTAGATCCGGCTTTTTTCTGATCTTAGGAACGGGCTTCCGCGGGGGCTGCGGGGACATATCTAGCTTGATCTGGATACTAGGGGAGCTAGGGAAGACGCTCTTGTTAGACGTTATTGCCGTTGGGGGTGGAGGTGGTGGAGGCACGAGCGGCATAGGAGATGGTTTAAGCTGGGGCCGTGGTTTTGGTTCCTCGATTACGTCGTCGGTGGCAATAGGAAGGTCGAGGTTTGGGCATAGGTAGCCATCGTACTGCGGGATGCGGAACCGTGCCCCGGTGAGCCGATTCCACACCCAGCCTTTCCCATTGAAGTGGAAGTCTGTGATTGTAGCCGTTGCGTGCTTACCTCCTGCGGCGACTTCCAGGCATACGCCGACGCCCTTAAGAGCCGGCTCTAGCGTCTGTGGTCGGATCAAGTCCCTTCGAAGATCCTTGCGCGATGCCAGCCAGTCTTCCTCGGAGAACAGGCGAGATACGCTGTAAGAAATGTTAGGTATTTTATTTATTTTATTTTTGCTGTTAGAAAAGGTGCTTTATAGGAGGGAGGGCTTACTAGTCAACGGGTATCGAGTAGTGAGCGCGGTGTTTCGGTCGTAGACGGTGGAAATCCCAACTAAGCACCTGTTTCCACGCGATGCCGGCAGAGAAGTCCAAGCTCTCTTTTAACTGGGCAGGATTTCTAATCTGTACCGGTATCCAACCGCCAAATATAGATGCGACGAAGCTATCTCCCAGTTCCATCTCAAGATCGGCACCGTAAAAAGGTTCGCACAGATCCCGTGTGAGAGACCGGCAGTCCTTCCAGTAAATGGCATGGCCGAGTCTGAAAAGCAAGAATATTGTCAGTATTAAAATTCATTTTAATCACAGGGGATAAAGAGTAGGGGATTTACTCATGTAAGAGCGTAACGGCCGTCATGAACGCTGTTAAAAGATACTCCTCGCCCTGTTCCTTACCCTCACATCTCAACTGGGCCAAGCGCTTAGGGAAATCTGCCGTGACTAGAATTGACAAGTTGCGGCATCTGCGGTTCTCGCATTTCTTATCCCACCGCCGTATAGTCCCATACTTATCGAGCTCATCCAGCGTCCGCCCGTTCCGTGGATGCCGACAAGTGTACCCGGCCCATCCACGCTCATGGAACATATATTCGTCCAGTTCCCACTTTAGGGAATTCGACATCTCGCCCTTAAGCTTGCTCTCTGCGATACGTGTCCATCTGCTTTTAAGCTGTGATGAGGCCCATGGAGCACGATGGTGTCTCACGATAGTCCGCGGCGCCGCCTCATTGTCATCTACGCGAGCAGCGGAAGAATGCGTAAAACTACAGCGACAACTTGGTTTCCGACCGGGGTAGCCTTTCACGAAGACGTCGTGGGTGAGGAAATCAGAGGCCCAGGGCAGTCCTGCAGCCTCTAGGAGTCGACTCGCAAGAAGGAGCGGCTGTTTCAATTCTCTGCGTAGCTCTTGATTTGTATCTTTCCAATTCGAAAATACTGGATGGATTTGGCCTCGCAAATTGAGACGTCGCAGCTCCGTGGTTCCTAACTTAGTTTGTTAATCACACGACGGCTCTTTTGAACAAGATGGGATGATAGGAAGAAAGTAAGTTCTAAGTACCTATGGCACCGCATTTCCGAAGTTCCTCTTTATTCCATCTCTTCGGGTTGGATCCGGGCTGCGTCAAAATGCGGCCATGTCGAGCTCTGGTTGTCTGCGGTGTCATTATCGTCTTACTCAATTACTCAATGGCCAACCGTACTGATCATTTAATGGGAAGAACGCTAAGCATTTCGGACCATGGTAAATAAATTATACCCTTCGGAAACATCTTTCAAAGGGTTTAACATTCCAACCGGGTTTCCAAGGAGGGGGGCCTGGAATGGGCAACCCTAATGTGTGGTCTATTAGTTGGTCGATTATCTATCCCTCCCCTCTACTCCTTTGTCTAGTCCGGCCGAGCCACGTTCTTGGAATAATATGCCGTTCCAATAATATTCATCGTCATCGTCAGTTCGTAGCCCTAGATAGGTCGCCTTAAATCTCGTATACATCCTAACTCTCGTACTCCATCCTCCTGTCGCCGACCACGTTCCAAAACTCCTCCACAAGCTCCTTTTGCCCACTGGGCGCGCCGCGCACCGCGAAGTATTTGCGCTCGTCGATCTTGGGCTCCCAGTCTCCCGGGTTGCCGCTGACCATAATACCTCCGGCTTCGGCAAGTATCGCCCAGCCGGCGCAGACGTCCCACGCCCAGCAGCCGCCTTCCCAGTACGCGTCGAGCTGACCCGCAGCTACGGCGCACAAATTCAATGCAGCGCTGCCCATGCTTCTTATAGATTGCACCATGGCACCTCCAGTCTCCTTGCTTGCGCATAGCTTCTTAAAGACTTCCGTCTTGACCTCGAAATTGACGCCATCTCGGCTATTGCCCCATTCGCTTGCTAACATGCACGTATACAACTCCTTTAGAGGCGGGGGGTTCTTGGACAGCGGCAACTTGGCTTTGCGCCCTTTGCCACCCTCGAGTCCCCAGACGGCGCCTTGCGTTAAATACGCACCCTGCCCGCGGATTGCGGAGTATAGCTTATCTTGGTAGGGGTTATACACGATTCCGACGGTGGGAATTCGGTCGACTGCGAAGCCTAGCGAGATGCAGGCCTCCGGGAAGTTGTGTACGAAGTTAAGGGTGCCATCGATAGGGTCTACGATGAAAGTCGGTGCTGTGGTGACTTGCATTCCTGGCTTATACGTCTCCTCGCCGATGAAGGCGAAGGTGGGGTAGGCCTTGGAGAGTCGCGACGAGACGAGGGCCTCAACGGCTTTGTCAGTTTCGGTGACTATGTCGGCGGCTATACTGCATCGTTAGTGAAAAATAAATGGATTATTGTGTAAAACTGTCTTTAGAGCTAGAGACTTGAAATTACTACCCAAAGCTATGGTGAATAATGATGGAGGGGTAACGATGGAAATAAATCATACAATTCAACTTTGTTCCCGTATCTATATCTTGAGGATTCGCAGACAAGATCATACGGCCGGCCTCGTGGGCCACCGATATTAACGTGTCGTGGATGTCTTGTAGGTTGAGGTCTGTCATGATGCTGGCCTTAGAGTTTCTACAATATTAGGTAAGTTTGAGTTGAGCAAAGAGGAATATCACGAAGCTCAGAAGCTCAGAAGCTCTAGGGTGTAGGATCTAAAATATTTAGGTGGGGTAGCAATGGCTAGCGTTAATGGGGTTGATGGTTGATGGTGGGGTTAATGATATTCGACTTTGACCGCATGTGGGAGAGCAAGGGTATACGATTGGTTGATATAGACTATGAGTACTTCGTATCTAAGTACCGATATACTACGTTCCTTAAGATACATTATGGGGTGGGGGGGGTCTATTGACATTATGTCAGCAATGGTGTCAGTATAATTACATAATTACAGGCCCCGATACTATGTCAAGACCGTGTCAATAGGTCAATACAATGTCTGCAAGGCTTGTTGTACCGATTTCATTGCAGGTACTTACGAGTCAGTATTAATAGATAGCATGTCAAGGTATTTATTATGTCAGAGGTACTGTTTATTTCGCCGTAATTACCAGGCCTGTTGACGATGTCCAGATAGCCACTATGTCCACCACGATGTCAATAGCGGCCACAATGTCAGTATCTAACACGATGTCAGCCCCGGGTATATACAGGCTAATTACTAGGGCCTAGACTATACATATATACTGCAATACAGTAAACTTTAATCATTCGTAATGACCTCGTAGTGTAATGGTAAAACACGTAGCCCGTAATCGTAACATCGTAACATCGTAGCCTGTAATTCAACGTATTGACATAATCTTTTCAATTGACTTTTACATGTGCCTGTGCCTTTTCTGTATATATATAAGTATGTGGAAGGCCTTGTATTAGATTACAAGGCCTTCTATTCTTTTTTTTTTTTTTAATCTATTAGATTCCCTGGCCTGACATAGTCTTGTACGTGACATATATCGATTAGGTGACAGTGACTACCATTGGCGACGATGTCTGAAAGGCCATTGTTTTTTAATATATTAGTATTTTAAACGCAATACAATTACGACGAAATATAATCGTGTACGTACGGTAGCTATTTCAGACCTGGTCATCCTTATAATTTAGATATAACCACCCCCGAGGGTGACTCTATTACAAGTACTAGCCAATCATGTAGGGGACTGATTCTTAAGCGGCGCACCGCCGACATTATGTCCACACCTTATCACTATTGCTGACACCATGTCAATAGACCCCCCCCACCCGCTAATGTATCTTGAACCTATAATTTACTGAGTTTCCTATTGAACTTGAACTTGAATGTCCGATATGGGAATTAATTGTTCCTACTTCAGCTGAGTTCCTTAATTATATAGTTATAATTTCTTTATATTGAGGTGCATAGATTCAAAACAAGACTTATAAGAATACATACCTTAGGTAGGTACCTAACATAGGCTCCCTGACTAGTCGCTGCGGGGCTTAACTGGCTCCGCTATTTTGACGTTGACCTGCTGAGAGCCGCTGGTACGATTTATGAAATACAATGTACATGATTTAAATAGTTACACTGTCGAAGAACAGTTGCAATATCTCGAGTAGGGTATATACACAGAGATAAGCCCATTTAAACGATACCTGGATCTAAACGAAAACCTACCCACAAAATGGCAACCACTACAAGCAACAAGGGGCAACTCCCACTCATCACGGTCCTGGGCTCTCTCAACATGGACCTAGTCTCCTACGTCCCGCACCACCCCCTTCCCGGTGAGACTCTAACATCAAACCGTTTCGCCGTGTCCCCCGGCGGCAAAGGTGCCAACCAAGCCGTCGCCTGCGCCAAGCTCTCCCGGTCCTCGTCCCACTCTACCGCCGACGATCCAACGGCCACCGCCCGCGTCCGCATGCTCGGCGCCGTGGGCCAGGATACATACGGCACCCAGCTTCTCTCCAACCTCTCGCGGCACGGCGTCGACGTCTCCGGCGTCACCGCCTCCCCGACCCTCAAGTCGGGCCTAGCCATCATCATTGTCGACGAACCCACGGGGCAGAACCGCATTGTCTTGAGTCCCGAGGCAAACCACAGTTTACTCTCGTCGCAGTTCTCGCAACCGAATTCTCTCGGGGACCCACTCCCGGACTTGCTGATCATGCAGCTTGAGATCCCGCTTCCGACGGTTGTCGCCGCACTGCGCGCGGCTAGGAACGCCCACGTGCCGGTTCTGCTGAACCCGGCCCCGGCGCAGGAGTTGCCATCTGAAGCGTACGCGGGGCTCGCGCATCTCGTTGTCAACGAGACTGAAGCCTCGATTTTAGGCGGCGTACCTGAGTCGGATCTCGACACCGAGGCGGGGCTCGAGGCTGTCGGACGGACGTTCCTATCGCGCGGCGTGCTGAATGTCGTCGTGACGCTCGGTGGACGAGGCGTATTTTACATGAGTACTGATGGCCAGAAGGGTCTCATACCCGCTGAGAAGGCCAAAGTCGTAGATACTACTGCGGCTGGGGATACGTTTGTGGGACAGTATGCGCTCGAGGTGGTGTCCGGGAGCTTCAGTATAGCCGACGCGGTAAAGAAGTCGAATCGCGCGGCTGCGAAGACGGTGGAAAGGCTGGGAGCGCAGGACTCGATACCCTGGCGTGACGAGTTATGAAAAGATAAACTATATATATTATGATGCCTTGGGAAGGATAAAACGAAGTAGAAAGTAATCACTTCGAATTCCATAGAGCAAGAAACCTTGTCCAACTAGACTATCCAAAAAGTTTCACCGATACTCTTATTAACGGAATTATTCTATAGTTACGTCCAATGCCATCCACTTTCTAATTCAAGTATTCACCACCAACCCCCTAAGCTCCAACGTCCCTCTCGTTTGCGTTTGTCACAATGCACCTCTTGTTTATCGGGTGGGCTTGGCGAACTAAGAGTACTATCGTCCCTACTTCCCGGATCTGTATCAATCACCGACGGCACCAAGCTCTTTAGACTATCGGCACCTATAGACCTTCTATTGCGCACTGCGGTCTCCCGTATCATCTCCCGCTGCCGCTGAACCTCGGACCTGGACTCGGGCCGCGTCGACCCCGGACGTATGGTTGCGTTGGAGTTAGGCGCCTCCACAAAAGTCGTAGCGGCGGGGAGTCGGTTGGCTTTGCTCACGTGAAAGGCTGGGCGGTTGCCGGAGGACGTCCGGCGCAGTTCTGTCCATATTTTCCGGGCCGGGTCGGAGATTCTTTCCGGGGACAACCGCTTGAGACTAGCCTGCCGTCGGGGGATGGGAGGAGCTGTTCCTGTCCGATTTGGTACTTGGAGGATATCTTCAGTTCTGTCGGGTTGTCCCATCCCCATCCATCTAGCTGCCCTGCGGGAGCTCGGACGATTCGATATGATTCTTTGCATGACTTCGTTGGCACGAACTGGTCCCCAGTGAGAAGCAATAATAGGAAATAAAGGATTGGTCGTGGAAGTCGGTCGAGGAGACCACGTAGATGTTGAAGTATGCTGCTTTATGGTCCCTGTCACTACCGTTTCTAATCGAGTTTGATACGTCGAGACATTGCCTTCAGCATCGTCTTCAGTAATATTGTCACTAAATGCAGGAAATCCTGAATGACAGTAATGAACCCTGACTTGCAGGTATTCAGTCTGGGCACTCCCTAGCTGGTTTTCAAGGTCGGCAATAAGACTATCAGGATCATCCCTGGATGCTCTTGATTTTCTGGATTTCGAAGTCCCCAGCCGGATACAAGCTAATAAGAGGAGGCTAGAGCCAGGGCTTATTGTCCTGTCGGCTCATATGAGCGCGGATACCCTAGGGCGTGCCAGAGGAACATACCTTATCGTAGTATCACCTATAAGATCGACAACACTGCCCTCCGCAATAGGTAAAATGTCTATCCTTATGTTATATAGATAGCCATATCTTGATAAACCGATGTCGTAATGGTGAACGGGTGTGAAAGGAACCTGGTCGGCGTCATAGGTTGAGTCATCGGCCCGGGGATGAAACAGCCGACCCGATATCTCAATAGCTGCCCAAATATTCGATTGTCCATCTTCTAGTGATTTCGACTCCGGTATAATGGAGACGTGCGGGACGAGTATGTAGGGATCAGGGACAGTGTCATCCAGTCCTTGGGCACTTGTGAAAGAGCGGCTATCAAATCTGTTTGTCTCGAATTCATAAGGATGTGTAGGAGGTATTGAATAGTCAGAATTCGACGACTGATCCCACGAACTAGTCGTTACGCATCCATTAGAAGACTTGAGTATCGACTCATCTGGGGAGTTGCTACAGGCCTGCGGATTACGCTGATAATACGCAGCTTTTGAAGATAGGGTCTTGCGAGTAGATAACGAGCGTAACCTCGAGAGAAATGTAGGAGATGTCGGTCGTCCAGCTTGCAAGCTCGATGACCGGCGAGATACTGGAACCTTTTTAGGTTTCGGAGTGACGGGATCCCAAGCACTATTCGAAGCTGTGATCTAATCGTTAACGGAGTAGACTATTTGAATAAAGACCCAATATTACCAGTATTCGGGACAACGCCTCCAGATTGCTCCTGAAAACTTCGGTCGAGGACTAATTCCTCAACACGAGTAGAAGGTTTCCTTATAATGGGTCTACTCTGATATTTCCGATTTTTTACAATGGTTAATGGCTGATTAGGACCATCACCAACACTTTCGTTGCTGATCTTCCTGGGGGTGTAGCGGAGGACCTGCATCGACTTTCCTCTCTTTATTATATGTAGCGGCGATGGGATATCCATGCCTGACGACGGGCTATCTTGCATAGTGAACAGGCAACGGCCGAACAATAGACCCAAGAGACTCGTTTCTAACTTGGCCAATGAAACTGCTCTTAATAGTTGTAAAACTTCCTCCTGTATTGTCTATAAGGCTGGTAGGGTGCGTTGGCGCCAGCTGTTCGCTTCGTGACTTTGATCGGCAGTTGCAGAGATGTGATATGAGATTAAACCCCTTTAAAATTGTTAAAGCGACAATCACAATCAGAACGGCCGGGATTAGAGCAATGGCACAGATTATACCGGGATGAAGTTGTTCGAACATAGCCAATGCTCTAGTCGTCCTCAGTCGCAAAATGGATATTGAATTCGAAATTAGGTTGTAAAAGCAACTGAATAGTAGGATTACGAAAAGAATACCAGATACCTCATATCTTGGAGGATTGGTGCTGGGAGGTGAAAAATAAAAATGGAATGTATATAGTGCCGGGTATCAAGAACTAGAAACTAGGAAAACCGTCCTCGCGAGAGCACAATAGAAATGCGCCTTCCACCAAATATATATAGGCAAGTCCGAATCAGGAGTCGTGATTCAAGGTTCGTAGAAGATCATCTTTTATAGCATCCACGTCACTTTCCTCCATATTCATAAAGCGAATCTGAGTAGCCGGGCATTAGTAGCTGCGCATGCTTACCTTAGATATTCAAGGTGTAAAGTGAATAGGGGTCAAACTTACAACATCGTCAGCAGCACCCACTCCACCAAATAAGACAGGTTCGGACAGACTTGCAGTCACAGCTTTCTTGACCCTTTCTTCCCATACACCTTCCCAATTCCATTCCCCTGGCCTCCTTGGAGAATCGGGTGTCTCTTTAGATACAGGATTGGCATCTGTCAGGTCAGTATTATTAGAGGTATCGGAGAATTCCTTCCCATTGTCAATGCGATATGTCCGCCAAGCGTGCCAGGCACCGGGATTTCCGGCAGCCTCGAGAGGGATAGAGTCCAACACGTCTTCGTCGCTGAAGGTGCTACGTATATATCGAAGGACCTCATAAGCAGAAGTTTCCTTTCTATTCGTCTCGGCAAACCCAGGTGATGTACCAACAGCAGATCCCTTAGACCCGGGCGTGCCTGCACTACTCATCGACGGAGGAGGTGGTCGATGAGGCGTATGTTGTTCATCCTGCTGTCCGCTAGACTGCCGACCACTACCAGTATTTTGGCCCCGGCTTGAGCGCCTAAACCAGCCGGGAAATCCATGCCTCAAGCTAAATCCTCCGGGCGGTAACCGCTCCGCATCGGTTGCACTTACGGTACCGTTATCGTGAACGTCGGTCGAATACATGTAGGTGCTCAGAGGTGTAATTAAGGGGTGAAACATATCGGTCGAGAAGGTAACTAGTGGCGGTAGTTTAGGATATAAGTCGGGAAAGGAGATCTGGAATCGTAGCACGGCGGGAGCATAAGGACCTTTTACCCATCGATTAGAAACCCCTGAGCGCTGCGACGATTATGCGAGTACCCGAAATGCTCACCATCCCGAACGAAAAGTACTCCGGACCAAAGATTAGGGTCGCCAGGAGTGAGGCTTACAAAAACGCCTTCGGGGTAGGTCTGTTTAAGTCCAGCGCTATAATTAATAAGTCAGCTTTGCGTTCAGCGGATGGTAGAGGTGTTATAGTAGAAATGTTATAGTAGAGGTGTATATAAGAACGCGTCGCGTACAACTCGACCAAGAGATGCTGTTTTCTCAGCGCCGGTAGCGCATTAAATTTAGAAGGGGTCATCTTATCACCTCGCAGAGTAGAGGCGAATACATTCAATGTTGAAGATGGAAGAAGCAACTGAGACGTTGAGACATCTTGGGTCTCTAGTCCTTTATGCGTCGCCAAATGGCAGGGCTCAGCTAAGCATAGGGATATCGTTAGTAGGCATTATTATAAGCTCTTATCGATAACTGTCACTATGTACATAGGAGGTATGTAGGTACCTCTTAAGGTACGGTCAATTCATACCCCACTTGCCGAAATTAGACATGCGTAATTATCACGTGAAAATAAGATTAGAGATCAGAGCGGCGTCCATCTTAGATCCAAGTTCCGAGTGTCTGGGTCCTCTAATACCTATCTGACGAGCAATCCCACTACATACCATAGGTAGATATCAAATGCGCGTTAAAGTGTATACCTTACATGCAAGATCAAAGACGATGTCTCAACTAAAGCATGACATGCAGAAGGAAAAAAAGGATCGGCAACTACTATGAGCTACTTGATAGGATATATATGATGGACAAAAGGCGAAATGATTCTCCTACCCACCAGCCTAATGCCTAATGCCGACATACACTATCGCCATATAGGACAACCCCTCATTAGCCGGCAATCAGTAACCCCCCCACCCTTGTTTAAGGGTTATGGATTCCACTTCTACTATGTAGACTTGCCTGATTCCTTCACAACCCTCGGGATAACTATCCAAAGAAAGGCGGCAGAATGTCCGGCTCGCTATTGATAGTAGCCCTGCCTAGGAGCCGCTCTTCATTAGGGAGAGGTTACGCCTATGGTGTCCTCACCTGCTGTCGTATTTCAAATACATAGGTATTCTCTGCTTCAGAAAACGACAGACTTCGTTACACCATAACACCATTTCACATATACTTGGTTCTTAGTCTGGATTGTCAATATGTCCGATTATAGGGATTTGCGGATATCCATCATCGGCGCGGGTGAGTTATCTAGCCTAGAAATACGATTAAAGGAAAAAAATAAGAAGTATAGCGACTGATGTCGCTTCATCTTAGGTATGGGCGGTCTCGCCTGCGCCCTTGCCTTCGCCAAGAAGGGGTTCAAGCACGTCGACGTGTATGAAACGGCTTCGAACTTGGGATTCGTCGGAGCCGGGATCCAGTTGGCCCCGAACATGGCCCGGGTGTTAGACCGTTGGGGCTGCTGGGACGAGATCTTTGCTGAGGCTACTAACATCAAAGCCTCAAGCATCCGCGAGGGCTCTTCGAATCGTGAACTTGTACACGTCGAAATGCCCGACATTGCCGAGAAGTACGGATACCCTCACTGCACGGGACATCGCGCGTCGTTAGCCGGTGGCTTATATGAGGAATGCAAAAAAGAGCAAAGCATCAAGTTCCATTTTTCGTCGTCGCTCGCCGACGTAACATCTTTCGGTCCGGGCAAGACGGTGTTCAAGGTACAGCCACGTAACGGCGACCCATACGAGGTGGAGACCGATATCCTACTTGGCGCCGACGGCATCAAATCCGCCGTGCGGTCCGCTCTGCTCCGCACTCTAAATCTTAGTGGCGACGTCGAAGACACGGGACAGGCCGCATACCGGATCATGCTCACGCGGTCCCAGATGGAACATGACCCGGAACTCCTTGAGCTGCTAGACGCCGACGTCGCGCTGCGATGGATAGGTGAGAAGCGGCACATCGTGGCATACCCTATTAGCAACAAGACCATCTACAACTTATCAACGTGCCAACCGGATGTCAACTTTGCCGAAGCCCCGAGCATCACGTACACGACACGCGGTAGCAAGTCTGCCATGCTAGATGTATACGCGGATTTCCACCCCATCGTGCAAAAGATGCTAAACATGGTGCCCGAAGGTGAGGTGTGCGAGTGGAGGTTGCGTTCGCATAGCGCCCTTGATACCTGGATCCTTGGTTCTGTTGCTCTGGCCGGTGACGCCTGCCACCCCACGCTACCCCACCTTAGCCAGGGCGCTGCCATGGCCATCGAGGACGGCGCCGTACTGGCAGAAGTGGTGAGCCGCGTACCAGGAGGCGGTTCAGACAGGGATGCTCTTTCCAAGGCTCTCAAAGTCTATGAGCTACTAAGGAAGCACCGGACGACGATACTGGTCGACCTAGCCGCGTCATCCGCACGATCGCTACACCTAGGCGCGGGTAAAGCGAAGGAGGAGAGGGATAGACAGTTCGCGATGGGCATGAAGAAAGGAACCCCTATTCCGGATAAGTGGGCCAGTCCCGAGGTTCAGCATATGATCTACTCATACGACTGCGTAAAGGACACCGACGAGAGGTTCGACGAGTTGTACGCTACGCTTACAGGTGAGGCTAATGGCCATGCGAATGGCCAGGCGAATAGTTACACGAACGGACATGCAAATGGCGTAACCGCATAGAAGCTAGAGTCTAGTTTAACTGCATTGTATAAAGACACAGACATGATAGTGAATGTAGCAGTAGCGAATATATGGAATTGACTTGACGCGATTACCGTCGTGGACTGCTCAGAAATAGTATCACGCCGTATAATTACAAAAGAACCTATTCCGTAGGACCAAAAACGCCATGCTCCCTTCGGATGCGTATCGTATCATCCCCCCCTGGCCCGTTGTTCGGTCAAGTGGATGCGACGAGGTGGTATGCTCGAACCGCTAGATAGTAGTATTACCTCCTCTTCAGTTCTCATCAGGTACTTGTTCCTCTCCATCGACTACCTACCTAGGTAGTCATCCGGCTTCTTTTCCCTTAACAACATCTCGGCTTGCGCAAGACAAAAACTTCAAACTCGGAAATGCCTTCACTTCACCCCCCTCCCTTAAAACAGACAATCCAGACAGCAACAGCAGGCGAGTGCACCGATTAGCATGCCCAGGCAGCCGTCGCTTGAGTCGCTCTTCTGGGGCTGGTTCTGATATTGGCCCTGAGGCGCGTAGCCTGGCTGTGGGTAGTATCCCTGCTGCTGCGGGGGATACGGGCCGGCCGGATAGCCACCCTGGGGCGGCGGCTGGCCGTAGTTCATGCCCGGTTGCTGCTGGTAGTAGGGCTGCTGGGGAGCGCCGTAGGGTCCTTGCTGGTATGAAGCTTGAGGCGCTTGCGGAGGAGGCGCGTAGGCCGGGGGATGATCGGCTTTGTCGGCCATGGTGATGATGGAATGTGGTGTCGAGAGAGGTAGTGAGGTGTGACTCTAAGGTGTAGCTCGTAGGGCTCAGATCGGATCTATAGATCTATTTGCGCTTTGATCCGATGGACAGGGTTCAGCTGGGTGCGAATTGTAAGATGATCGATCGTTCGTTCTGATGAATCGACTTGATAGGGCGAGCACCAAGGACGGAAGCGTGTATGAAGGTGAAAAGTTTTGGGGTCGAGAGTTCTTCTTGCGTGGTACAAATAATGGAGCGCGCTCGGAAAGTCGGCTATTATATTTGTTGGCGCCGAGCCTTGGACGAACAAAGGGTTGGCTTGGAGATGTGGCGGAGCGTCAGGGGACGCGTGGATAGAGCAAAGCAAATGGCTGATCTAGTATCACGACTTAGTGACTTGGCGGAAGAAAGGCGTAATCTTGGCAGGTAATTATTTATGTAGAAGAGGTTCGGATTAGCAAGAAAAGAAATAAAAAGAAAATATTACTATGTACAGGAGGAAGAAGTAGAAGAGGTGGACCGACTCGGATACGTCCGTCGTCGTGAGATGTTTTAAGAATTGCAGCTCAAACAAACTGCGTCACAGCGCTTAGGTACGTGCAGTCTGCTAATATGGAGAGCCGTAGCTGTATTTACCTAGGTACCTGGAGGTAGCCCGTAAGCTCAACGCCTGGCCGACACAAGATTCGCCGCATCATTCAATAAGATGAAAATGGAAAGTTGAATACAACAAATCGGAATCCATAGCGAAGTTGATAAGAGTTGAACAGACTTATCTTATCACTCTCAATCATCGATAGTTATGACCCTTTAGTGAATAAGAGGTTATTAGCTACCTGACTCAAAGGCTCAATTCATGACTTAAAAATAAATGTCTTGTTCTAAAGAGATTATAGTGAGTGATAGATACATAAGCACGTGTAATTAGGTAATTTCAATCAATGGTCGATTAAGAACAATAATATCCCTCTTCGTGCATAAGGGAAAGTATATTTATTTACTAAAAGGGAACAGTTCGCTTTTATGGATTACTAGTATTCGTACTATCCGAATAATTATTAGAGTCTCTAATTATTATAACCCAAATGCGACCAAGTCATCGGCCAACTTCATATCATTATTCTTCCTTAACAGGCCATAACTCACACATTAGTTCACAATAACCATACCTATACCAAAGCATTTCATTAATACAGCTACTTTTCAGCCAGCCGAGTTGATCACTACCACGAGAAAGCCTTCCAATGGCTGAACTTTCTTTAGTATTACCGTCAATCGCGGCGATGCGACTAGAGCCTCATCTACCACCCTTGCAGCCAACGTCCTCTCCAGAGGACGTATCTTCGTCGTCTAAACTACCCTTCGTCACACTAACATTTGCCACTTCACTTGATTCAGCGCTATCCCTCGGGCCGGGTATTAGAACGGCTCTTTCAGGTCCAAAATCAAAGGCTATGACCCATCATCTTCGCAGTCGCCACGATGCCATCTGTGTTGGGGTCGGGACAGCTATAGCCGATGACCCAGGGCTGAACTGTCGTCTCGCGGCTGATGCTCCGTCCTTGGAGACTTCGCCGACCGGTGATACAGCTGGCGTCGGCGCTCTCTTAGGACTTGCCTCCATCTCAACCAAGCAATCTGTGATCGATGAAACTAACAGCGCCATGACTGCGCGTCAACCTCGGCCCATAGTTATCGACCCAAGATTACGTTGGGATTTCACTTCCGAGAGCAAAGTGATGAAGCTGGCTCGGGCAGGCAAAGGCTTGGCTCCATACATCATAACAGCTATACCTAACCCCCCAGAAGATAAGAAGAAATTATTACAAGATCATGGCGGGAAGTTCATCGTCCTAACCCAACCTCAAAACACTATATCTGACGTGGGTCTAAACAATCGTCGTTTTGATTGGCGTGCCATCTTAGCAGCCGTACGGAACGAGGGGCTACAGAGCATCATGATCGAAGGCGGCGGCGAGGTGATCAACTCACTCCTTTCTAAGGAAAATTCACAGCTAATTGACTCGGTTATAATAACTATCGCGCCCACTTGGCTCGGTCAGGGGAGTGTCTTTGTTTCTCCAGCTCGAAGTGTCAATCCCGACGGTAGCCCGAGCCCTGTAGCTCGGCTTTCAAACATAACATACATGCCCCTTGGAGAAGATCTAGTCCTATGTGGAAACTTTGCATCCCAAGATTAATACTTCTGGCTATGCTAATGGTCCTCTATAAAGTTCTGAGTGCATCGTGCTTGATGATCACGTGGCTCCAAATATTATATCGACACGATGAGACTTCTCTTCCTGTGAAGTTGTCTCGAATATTCTCTGGCGTGAGGTCTTTGATATCTTGGGTCCCGATCTTTCGTATATATTCATCTAAACTATAAAATTATCAGCGATGGCCAGGTATCAAGGAACCCAAGATGCAGACGATATTATCATCGAAACTACACGTCTACGTGCAGGACGAAACTAGCCAAAACTTCCTAGGCCTTAGCTATAGAACATAGAGAATGGTCACTACGGATGCGACCCATATGTTCTTTTTGGAAATACTACCTATCTAGTTATCTATCTAGACTCGGATTGAATCGCTCGTATTAGACACCATCTGTCAAGTAGCTATAAGAGGCATGGCGACAGTACCTTTGACAATATTTTCGCCTAGAATTCTGGATAGCACCTTCAAACCAATTATTCTCGTGGTATTATATTCAAGGAGTTATATTTTACAAGCTAGCATAAACGAGATAGATTTAGGGTATTCCAGCTCAACTCCACAGTGTCTCTACAAGCTAAGACACGATATATACCACAACAACAGCCCCTTTCCTTCACGTACGACCATAGGATCTAGAAAACTCGGGATCCCGTCCGCTCTCCCAAAGATAAACTGGTTACCGCCGGATTAGTAACTGGGTCGGTGACGACCAGTGAATCCCCGGTGTTGTACGTTTTGTTTTCATTTTTTGGTCTTTTTTCCAGCCTGGATCATTAGGCTAGGTAGCTTAAGTTAATTGGGTTAGGTACATATTGGGACCAGAGGAAAGAGTCGCCATGGGAAGAACTTGATTATTCGGAATTATCATGAGGTAGACCTAGAAGGCATACGCTTCGTCGTTCCGCAAGGAATTCAACCTAGACTTTAGAGGTCACTAACTACCTACACATACTAAGAATATCATTTACTTTAGATTCTCCTTCTAGAGTTCTAAGAGGAATATCTTTTATGCCTTTCCACGATGTTGGTTCAGCTTAGAGTCAAGATGGATGCTTTTATGCCAGGGCTGGGACTCGATCCCTTCTAGGTTTAATAGTACTTGGGAGCCAACATAACTTTAGCTACTCTCTATACTATAAACTCATCCTCTAGCTATATATGGTCAAAGGTGGCCATATATATATGCGATGCTTCATATGTAGGTAACCTCTTACTAGCTGTACTAAATAAGTACGGCGTCTTTCTAGACAGTTATTACAGTGCAATCCAGCGGTAGAAAAACAATTTTGCTTCTATATAAAGGACTGTGGATCTAACCAGGACCCTGAAACGACACATATATAACTGTTTATCTAATATATCCCAGGGTAACCCCAGGCGATGTCATGAGGTAGAGCAAGAAGCAAGGAAACAACTTTGTTGTTCCGCGAGGAACTCTAAGTTAACTATGAGAGCCTACGGCTATATATACTGGAAGTGTTCTTTGTTCTAAATGAGACATCTAGAATCCTGACAGGTGAGCCTTGTAAGTACGATCCGGAAAGGTAACATTATATCGCCACAGAAGATCCCAGCAGTCATCTATATGTAGAGCCCACACACTACTCCTCGATACCCCGCCCGACTCCTATATATTGACTTTATAGTTATATATAGCTATCTCATGGTACTACCTCATATTAAAATAGTAGTCACAAAGTCATGATGTACCCATATCTAAGAGAAGTAGTAAAGCTAGAAGCCATTAGAAAGTTCACAGGGAGACTATTGCGATATATACCTAAATAGAGAAATGGTTATTTTATCAGTGGTCCTATTTCAGATAGGTTTATAATTTCTATTGTATGCTCGCATCATTGCCGAAGCCAAAGCGAACACTTAAGTAATAAGTAAACCAAGGGTACCTAGGATTTGGTTGGAAGCGATATACTACGAACACAAAAGGACCTAAAATATCAGAAAGAAATTTTACAAAATATTAGTTAATTACTTTTGAGGTCATGTAAATAAGCCTGGTTGATGATCTAGTATATCGATGTCTACTTAAGCTACCTGGTGAGCCACCATGCGCCCTGACCACCTACACTAACTACCTGATTTAAATTACCTCTTATAAGAAACTTCTAGCGTCTTTCTAAACTTGTCATTACATCTTAAGTTATCATCATCATCATCATCATCATCATCATCATCATCATCATTATTGCCGTCATTTTATAAAAGCTCTTCAGATACCGCATCACTACACTAGTAACATCACATGCGCTATTAGCGAAGGGAGAGTCTCCGTAACACCTCGGTACAAGATCTGTGTACCTAAGGCAATAATGACTCACGAAAACGATACTCGGGTGGTGGCATAGGAATGACAATGCGCCCGACCTTGCAGCTAGCTCTGGCATCGTTGTCGTCACTTTACGATCTGCGGCGGTGTAGTTGTTGTTGTTGGTCATAGCCGCATTGAAGTTAAGTTGGATACGAAGCAAAAGCTGAGTTACGCAGCGTTTCGCTTACTATTCCCCAAGAGATATATTGGTTGGGAGTTCGGCCCGCCGTATGCTGTGTCCCGTGACAGCCTCGGGTTACCGAAATGACCTGTCTTGTTCTCCTCTCCCTCGGCAGCAAACATGACCCTGTGGCGCTGGATATAACCATGTTAATGGGAATACTATGTAGAGAACCTACGCTACGCCGGTCACCGAAGACCTGGAAATATCGGCCGAGTTGCAGCATTGCTGCCTTACCAAGCCTATGTCGATGCTTGGGTCCTACACGGGCGTCCCCCACGCTCGCGCCAGCCCTATACGTCAACGCGCTGGAATACAGAGTCCCAAGGACACACACATACCTCGAGTAGGAATGTGGGCGCACGTGCATATGCGTAGAGTATCAGATAGAGATATAAAGTGCTTGTCCTAAGGCTGGGATAAACTACCCAACAACCTGTATGTAAATCTGTACGTTACCCGCCTGATGGTAAGCTTACGCAATAACTACTGCATATAGAGCTATCATTCAAGCATCCACCTAACCCCGACTCTCGCAACCGGATAGGTATGCAAAGTGGGACGACGAAATGCAAGACATGAAGATCGTATTGGTTGCTGGGAGCGAACTGCTCCGGGCCGATCCAGTAATTTGGTTTCTATCGCCTGCATCGGAGGTCGTGCGTTAGCGCTCATCCTCCCCATGCAGATCTGACGAGGAGCTCGGGACCTCTCACCCCTCGCCAGCTTTTAGCGAGTTGGATCCAGACTGTCGGTTGCATCTTACTAAGTTCCCGTGAGCGGGAGGTGGTGCCTTTGGAACGTTCGAAATGCAGCAAAGGCCCGCGGCCCGATCCCGCTTCGCTTCGTCAGTGGTCCGAAGAAGAAAGAACACAATGCATAACACCTTTTCTTATTCCCGCCCCTTTCATCTTGACGATCATGTGGCTCGGGATTTTACAATACGAGGTCAAATCCATACTCTATTGAGCAATGGTAGAGCGACGAACCCGGTTCTATAGCAATCGATGTAGGATTTTTCATACCGTCCAGCATAGTGTGGGTAACGATGCCGTGCCGTAGCAGCCCTCGTCGTGCTTGTTTCTGGTCAGAAGTATAACTTACATGTGCTCCATACGCCCGAGGATTATTGTTCGATTACTCAGATGACATTCTGGACTCCGTCAGCCCAGATACCTACTCTAAGTCCTATTGCAGAAGCAAAACTATTTGTGACACCAAGTTGACCGGAATCTTATGCCGTATGTGGCTTACGGGCGCCATGGTACGCGAGACGCAACTCGCAAACAGTTGTATACAGCCTTGCGGCCATCAGCTACACTCGGGGTTTGTTACTAACCTCACCATTCCCGAGGAAATGAAGGCTGGTCAGCTTATATCCTGTTTCCGAGCTTCAACTGACTGCACACACCCCACGAGTAGACTACAGTAGGCTTGCCCTACCCGCTGCGGGGAAGTAAAGCGGCATTAGCGTAGCCGGGCTGCACGTATTGCCTAGAACTCGCTTCCAGAAGAAGCAGATGATGACCCCGTTCAGGGTTCAATGTCATATGGTTGCTGACAGTCGACCCAAAGAAGTCTTCCTACCCGGCCGTCAGCCTTAAGTAGAGCTCAAGTATATACTATGTATCATGAACATCGGTAGCATTATGGCGGTGAAGGCGGAGGTCGTATTAAGGCTCCATGGGTTCGAGGGTTTAGGAAGGAAATGTTCGAAGGAACTCGTCATATATCTCACGTAACACTGTTAGTTCGTACGTTACCTATAGGAGAACCGGCGGCCAAAGTAAGTGCCCGTCTCATATAAATACGTATAGTGGAGAATGAGCTCTACTAATTCCCCGATAGGATGGTCCTGTACGTGCTATATTACCATTTTCCCGGATCTCGGTACAAGCCGACAGCCCCCTCCTCACGGAAATAAGAGATACAATATAGAAAATAAGACTTGCTTTAAGTTACTTCATGCCTTATTAAACTTGTATATATTAACTAAGCCTTTTGCAAAGACTCAAGGATTTACTTTCTAACAGGTTGGGTGATTAATTTGTATCTCGCCTTATGTTGTGCCATATTCTTTTACTACCTACGTACTCAAGACACATACTCGAAATATAAGCTAACAGGATAGAGCGTACTACATACCTATGTAAGATCGAAAGATATCATGAATGTATACTTAGTCGTCTTGCACGAGACCTTTTATTTATTGAGTCGTTTTTGAGTATCCGTAGAACCCCACTAACCTATATTATAATTGATATAGGTGTATTAAAACTGACCAGAGGCATCATGCTATTAAGATATTATAGAGGCAAATTCTTTCTTAAACCCTATCTAGTAGCTGGAGTTTAGAGAAACACGAATTTTAAGTGGTTAGCTAGAGTGAGAAGACAATATGACGTTTATGATTAATTATTTATAAGGCCTACAATAATCGCTATTTTCGATAAGCAACTTACTCTTATTAGAGTTATTATCTTATTAACATGGTAGTTGACGTTATTCTAATTGACATTGACATTTTATTTCTTTACCTCATAAGAGAGATGGAAATGTAAGTTAAGTAAAATCAACTTACAGAGCTACCAACTAAACCTAAATCTATTCGAAAGAGTATAAGGAAGTCATAACTCATACGACACATAGACAGATAGGTAGCAGGCTACCAAAGCCTAACAGGGATAT